CTGTATGTATATATGTGACTACATGACCAATATTGATTCTGCAACATGTACACTCAGAAAAGTGAGAAATTATATCCCATCTATGTATGATATATCAAAGTATATAAATGCATTCTACTGTCATTTATAACTAATTAAAACAAAGAAATTAGGAAAAAAAGAAGTGGTGATGGAGGGCATCCCTGTCTTGTTCCAGTTTTTCGACGGAATGTTTTCAATTTTTCTCCATTTAGAAAGATGTTAGCCTTGGGCTTAGCATAGATAGCTTTTATAATGTTGAGATATGGTTCCTATTATCCCTAGTTTTTCTAGTTTTGAACATGAAGGGGTGCTGTATTTGTAGAATGCTTTTTCTGCATCTATTGAGATGATCATATGGTACTTATCTTTAAGTCTATTGATGTGACCAATTACATTTACTGATTTCTATATGTTGAACCAACCTGGGGTGAACCCCACTGGATTGTGGTACACTATCATTTTAATATGTTTTTGTATTAGATTTGCCAGAATTTTTATTGAGAATTTTTGCATCTATGTTCATTAGAGATAATGGTCTGAAGTTTTCTTTCTTTGATGTGTCTTTGCCTGGTTTTGGAATCAGAGTAATATTGGCCTCATAGAATGAGTTTGGAATTTTTTTCCTTTTTTTCTCTTTAATGGAATAATTTTAGGAGTATTGGTATTAGTTCTTCTTTGAAGGTCTTATAGAGCTTAGCTATGTATCCATCTGGCCCTGGGTTTCTCTTGGTTGGTAGGCTTATGATGGCATCTTCTATTTCATTGCTTGAAATTGATCTGTTTAACTTGTATATATCATCCTGATTCAGTTTGGGCAAATCACATGACTCTAGAAATTTGTCGATGCCGTCAATATTTTCTATTTTATTGAAGTACAAATTTTCAAAAGAATTACTAATTATCTTCTGTATTTCTGTAGTGTCCATCATGATATTTCCTTTTTCATCATGGATGTTAGTTATTTGAGTTTTCTCTCTCATTCTCTTCGTTAGCACAGCTAAGGGTTTATCAATTTTATTTATTTTTTTCAAAGAACTAACTTTTTGTTTTGTCAAATATTTTAATTGTTTCTTTTGTTTCAGTTTCATTGATTTCAGCTCTGATTTTAATTATTTCCTGCTTCTACTTTTTTGGTTTGTTCTTCTTTTTCTAGGGTTTTGAGATGTAATGTTAAATCATTTGTTTGTTGACTTTTTTTTCTTTTAAGGAATGAACTCCATGCAATAACTTTCCTCTTAGTACTGCCTTCATAGTGTCCTAGATATTTCAGTATGTTGTATCAGTATTCTCATTTACCTCTAAGAACTTTTTAATCTCTTCTTTAATGCCTTCTGCAATCCATTGTTCATTCAATAGCATATTTAGTCTCCAGGTGTTAGAGTAGCTCCTAGTTTTTATTTTATCATTGATTTCTAATTTTATTCCATTGTGATCTCATAGAATATAGAGTAGTATCTCTGTTTTTTGGATTTGCTAAGAGTTACTTTGTGGCATAATATATGGTCTATTTTAGAGAAGGATCCATGTGTTGCTGAGAAGAAAGTGTATTTCACTCATTGATGGATGAAATATCTATATATGTCTGGTAAGTCTAATTGATTGTATTATTGAGTTCTGTAGTTTCTTGGTTTAACTTTTGTTTGGAAGGTCTGTCCAATGGTGAAAGAGGTGTGTTAAACTCACCCAGTATTATTGTGTTGTGGTCTATTTGACTCTTGAAATTGAGAAGAGTTTGTTTGATGAACATAGATGTTCCATTGTTTGCAGCATATAGATTTATAATTGTTATGTCTTGTTAATGTATGGTTCCCTTAAGCAGTATATAATATCCTTCTTTATTCCTTTTGATTAACTTTGGCTTGAAGTTTACTTTATTTGATATGAGGATGGAAACCCCTGTTTCTTACTGCAGTCCATGTGAGGGATATCTTTTTCCCAATCTTTCACCTTCCATCTGTGGATGTCTTTTCCTAAGAGAGGAGTCTTTTGAAGGCAGCATATTGTTGGGTCTATTTTAAATCAAATCTGCCTGCCTGTCTTTTGATTGATGAGCTTAGGCCATTAACATTCAGGTTTATTATTGAGACATGATTTATATTTCTAGTCACTTTTGTTTATTTTTACTATATAACTTGACTTGGTTTTTCCTTTGATTGGTTTTTCTTTTAGTGTAAAACCTACCATTGCTTATTTTCATTGTTGATTTTGTTTCCTTCTCATGAAATATCTTGCTGAGGATGTTCTGTAGTGCAGGCTTTCTAGTTGTAAATTTTTTAAAATTTTGTTTATCATAGAAGGTTTTTGTTTCGTCATCACATCTAAAGCTTAATTTTGCTGATATAATATTCTTGGTTTCTTTCAGAGCTTGGCATATGTTTTTCTAGGATCTTCTAGTTTTCAGGATCTGGGTTGGAAAATCTGCAGATAGCCTAATTGGTTTCCCCCTATATGTAATCTGATTCCTTTCTCTTATAGCTTTTAAAATTCTCCCATTCTGTATGCTAGGTGTTTTCATTATAATGTGCCTTGGTGTGGATCTGTTATGATTTTGTACATTTGGTGTCCTATAAGTCTCTTGTATTTGATTTTCCAATTCATCCTTCATATTTGGAAAATTTTCTGGTTTTATTGAATAGATTGTTCATTTCTTTGGTTTGTAACTCTATGCCTTCCTCTATCCCAATAATTCTTAAATTTGGTCTTTTTATGTTATCTCATAATTCTTGAATGTTCTGCTTATGGTTTCATTTTGTGGTCAACATTATTTCAAGATTATATGTTTTCTCTTTATTGTCTGAGGTTTTGTCTTCCAAATGATCTAACCTGTTGGTGATGCTTTCCATTGTGTTTTTAATTTGGTTTATTCTTTCCTTCATTTCAAGGACTTCTGTTGTTTTTTTTTTTTTGCCCCCTCAGAACCTCCATCTCCTTTTTGAAGGAATCTTTTGTTTCCTATATTGGCTTATGTAACTCTTTATTGTAATTATATTTTGCTGCCTGTATTTGCTCTCTTATATCATCCTTTAATGCACAGAACATTTTAATTATGTATATCCTGAACTCCTTCTCTGTCATTTCTTCTGCTGTGCTGGCCATGGATTCTAGTAATATAGTATCTTGGTTTGTTTAGGGCACTTCATTCCCTTGTTTTCTCATGTTGTTTGTATGTCTTCCCTTGTAGCACTGCAGATCCAAGGTGTTACAGTTTTTACCCTATAGGCATATAGTGTCCCTGCAGGGTTCCAATACCTCTCTTTTAAGGGGGAGAACAATATTAACAGATCCCAATACAAACAATATACAACCTTGAACCAAATAACCACTATTAAGACATTTGTGGGGTTGTCACAATATGCAGAAATGTTGAGTTTAATTATTATCTACAATATAAACAGTAGGTTTGCAAAAGGGTCTACAGTTTCGGATGGTGAACAAAGAGAACAGGGGTGTGGTATAGGATGAGATGTTAAGGAGGTAGGAGGTAAGGATATAAAGACTTATTAGATCTTAGGAAGCTTGAAAAAGGAATCTAGTTGGCTAGTAGCAGGAGAAAAGAGAGAAAGTAATTTTGATGAGACTAGTAAGTGAGAAGACAATGGAATAAAAAAACAAATAACCATAAAAATTAAGAAAAATAAAAATGTAGAAATAGGAGATAAAATAATATGCAACACAACTGTCATATACTACACAGACATTCCAGTCCTCAATAGCCTAATCCATGAAAAATACTTGGTTTCACAAATGTTGGGGATGTGGGGGTGGGAGAAGAGAGAGAGAGAGAGAGAGAGAGAGAGAGAGAGAGAGAGAGAGAGAGAGAGAAAGGGGAAAAAAGAGAAAAGAAAAAATCTCAAAGGAAAATACAAGGATTGTTTTTGTTGGAGTTCAGTATCTTTCCTGCTTCCCTACTCATCCAGTAGTTGGGATTGTCTGTTGTTTGCTGGTATCTCCACCCTTAGGCTAATGAAGATTATTAGGGTAGGAGGGTTGGTCTTGGGGATGGAGCTCCTGGAAGTGGCATATAGTAGTTGCATGTCCCCAGTGGGAGACAGCATCTTAAGTATCTCCTTTGGGGCCTACTCATGTGATGTAGGTGCCTGGTCTTATCTCCTTATATCACCTATAGACCATAGCCCTCACAATTCCTGGTATCTAATGTAGTCTCTAAACTGTATCTCACTCACCCCCTCCCTTTCTACTTCCCAATCAGGAACCTCTCTCTCCAGAGATCTTATGGACTGTGCTATGGGGGCTGCGTACCTGTCCTAGAGAGCTGTTTTGTATTGGGCAGTTCAGGGCCAGGCTTGCGAGCTTGCCACATAGCCGCAAGCACTGTGCCCTGTTAGTGGCTGCAGGGGAGGAAGGAGTTGGGGACTATAGGTACTTTGACATTGCTTCTAGGACCCAGCCGGTTTGCCAGCTGGGAGTTGCCCCAACTAAAGATGGTGACAAAGGTGTCCCAAGGGCTGGACAGTGGCATTGGGTGTCGTGTTCAGAGATGCAGCTCGGTGGTGTACAGTGTTGTGGCTGGTGGCTGTCTTCAGACCCTGTTTGGTGTCCCCAGGTGCAGGCTATTGCAAGTAAGGGACTATGGCAGTGGTTACAGTGTCCCAAGATGGAGGCGACAGGGGAGCCTCATGGGATTGCACAGAGGAATGGTGACCAGAGGTCCTGCGCATAGGCAGCCACAACCAGGATCCTGTGTGGGTTTGCAGCAAGGGACCTGTGCATTAATGTTCTGGCACAGCTGTTGGGGGTCCTCTAATAACTCACAGAAAAACAGTATTCCCCACTACTTGAATCCAGGTCACAGAGCAACACAGAATGCAGCCTTCCTCTAGCCCACAATCTTGGGTCTCCATAGAGAACATTTTTAAGGGTCCTGGTTTTTGATCTTGTCCACAAGGCCTCAGGTGGAGTGTTGACTTGCCAATAGTACAGGAGGAACTGTGCTGCCATTTGCAGTGTTTCCCTTGCAGGTGGAACGGCCAGCAGGCAGAGGGGCTTTCTGGGGTGCATTCGGTTTCTGCAGTTGAACGGGATGGCTCTGGACCTGGAGGGAAGAGCCAAGGTGACTCCAGGAGTGGAGGCAGGGTGTGCAGGACACTGCAGCAGCTATGCACACTTGTGTCACAATGGGGGCATATGTCAAGAACAGCACAGAGGAGTGGCTTGCGACTGTACATCCTCTGCCTATGAGGGCCCATTCTGCTCACATGGTAAGTGGCCAAGAAGGAGGCTTCAAGTACAACATGAAGAATGTTCTGGCATATGATGCTACAAAGAAAGGACAAAGCAACTCTATGATGATTTGAAATAGAATTTCTGTCCCAAATCCTCTGTGTAATTCAGGAAGAGATAGGAATCTGTTTTGAGAAGCCATTACTGGCTACTTCTGTTAGCTCTGGTAGCAGTCATTTCTGGATTGCCGTAGTGAAATGCCCCATGAAGAGGAAAAACCTCTGAATTATATGTTTAGACTAGAGATTTAATTTTATGTAAATCTAAGATGAAATATTTTGAAGGCAACAGTGAAATATTTATCATTACAAAATCAAGTTATAAAAATAATGGAGAATGAGTATGTGTAATATTTTATTAGATAAATAATAGTATATATACATTTTTAACCTTAAAATTGTAAAAGTAAAATGAAACAGTAAAAATGCCATTATTATTTTCTCTCTTGGGATAGTGAGGGATTAGGTTTTTTTAAAAAATGTGCATAAAGCAAGTATTATTGCACTTAAGTATTACTAACAAAACAAAAATTTTGTCCAGAGATTTCTGCCTATTTTGGAGCTGGTTCCTCCATAATCTACAGTTTTCAAGAGCATCACAATTACACCTTCAATGGGAACTCCAGCTCCTTAGCAGCTTTATTTCATGAGGAGCTAACACTAACCAGGGAAATAGTCACCTTGAGCTTCCGAACCACGGGGACTCCCAGCCTGCTGCTGTTTGTAGGCTCTGTCTATGAGGAGTACCTTTCAGTTATCCTTGCCTCCAATGGTGAGTATGAGAACCAACCCACTTGAATCAAATGTATGAAATATGATATGTCAAGAGCTTTGTAATGTTTTGAACAACCAATAATAAATAAATAAATAAATAAATAAGAAACTGAGTAAGAAAAATGTGACCATAAAGCCACAGGACCTTTCGGTGATCCAGTCACAAACCAGGCTTTACTACAGTTGCTTTATTTTTCATTATAACCCCAAATATTTACAGCAAAAGTTAACATTTCAACGATTCAATTAAGATGCCTTTCTCCCATAAACGTTTGATTATTTTATGGGTTTGGTGTGAAACTGTGCTTCCTGTGATTCCCTGGGGGGGGCCTATGCTTCTATGTATGAAATATATAATTGAATTTTGTAGTTCTCTTTGAAATATCTTGTTTAATACATGGAAAATATTTCTAGTTCCCTCTAAGAAAAAAAAATAAAGAAATATTTAAACCATAGAAAAGACAATATCCATAAGCATCCAATAAATATGATGGTTCTTTATCTATTAGTAGTTGAGAAATCACTAGTGTCATGCGTATATGAAAAAGTTGAGTGACCCACCCAACTGAAGCCTGCTAAGGCTTTTTCAGGAGTACACAGTTGGAGAACAAACAATCTTAAACTGGTTTCTATGGATATGCAAAAACCATATGAGAATTATAAGTATTAAGAGAATTATTGAGCTCCATCTGTGAAGAAGTACAGTATGTGGAATGAGAGATTTGGATACTGCAAAAAACAATATATTTCTATTTTTCTCTATTTCTTTGTTATGGCACAAACTTTAGGGGGAAAAATCCTGATCGTGTAAGGAAAAAAATTAATTATGCAAATGTCAACAATACATTAAATTGCAGTGAATTCAGATTAAAAGAAGTTAAAGAACCTGAACATTAATGCAGTATTGCTTGAGGTTTTACCATTTAATAATATGACTATCACATTAATAATTGACTTAGAGCCTGGTTCAGAGTTTTCATATGCTCAACTTACACTTTTTCATTTAGTTAAGGAAAATTGAGGATGTTGGAAAGGAGACTGTTCATTATAATCCATTTGATATTAACTTTTAAAATAGTAACTAAATTTAGAATGTGGCCCTAAAATAGCTCATAAACGATCAATTTTCCAGGAGAAGTATATATTGTTCCACCCAAAAATATGCTCCATAGATTCAAATTATATTTAGAAAATTTAATGTGATTTAGAACCTGCGTGGGCAATTTTTGTAAAGTTTTGTTTTAGTTAAAACTGTCTTTTTTTTTTGTCTTCAGGAAGTTTGCAGATCAGGTATAAGCTAGACAGACACAGAGAGCCAGATGTTTTTAACTTTGATTTTAAAAACCTGGCTGATGGGCAACTTCACAATGTGAAGATTAACAGAGAAGCTGCAGTGGTCTTTGTAGAGGTAAGATAATAAATCTAACAATGGCATCAATAATTAAAATAGTGGCTCTCAGAATGTATGAGTTAAAGCAAAAATTTGATAATACATCTTAATAACAGAAATACCCATTTAGCACTATTATTCTCTAAGTCTTGTTAGGACAGACATGTAATCAAAGTGTTTTGTTTAGCAATGAGATTATCAAAGCTGTTGTTAGTAAGTACTAACAGTTTTAAAAGCAAAGCTGTCCTCAGATGTTTTACTTGACTTGATAGAGAAATATCTAATATATGATAGTGAAAGTTGACAAACCCATTCCCACTTTATACAAAAGAATAAATGCTACAGCAATTTAAACACAAGGAAAAGGTCAAGATCTTGCTTAAAATAAGAATCTATTTTTGAAAAAGCACCAGAGTAAATTAAACTTTGAGATTTAAAATAGCTTATTGCATTTCCTACGGATTATACCATTTATGGATACTTATACCATGAATAAAAATAAAGGGAAAAGGGTGAGACAGTGAGGACAAGTGGAATTTAATGTATTACTGAAATTGTTCAAGAAAGGGTTTCTCCATTCTAGATAATCTATTGTTTGAAGTTGGTTTCTTTCATCTTTCTGATAGCACTAATGTATCACTTATCTTTGTCATTTTTCTTGGCCTGCCCTTGATTCCCATCCTCTTATCATCCAAATTGCTCACATTTCCATGTCTACTTCTTGTGGACTGTTTAATAGGTTAACCAGAATGCAAGGAGAAGAGCCACTCTGTCATCAGGGATGGAATTCAATGCTGTCATATCTCTTGTGTTGGGGATGATTTTAGGTAAGTGAAAGAGTGTCTCCCCACAAGAAATGGCTCATAACCACGGAATTGCAAATGCAGGAAGCTTTTGTCAAGCTGAAAGAGGCTTCTTGTCATGTTGGTAATTTTCAGTGAGTGCTAATCAAGGTAGAAACCATATTCTTATCTGAGTGCACCTGTAATCCTAAGTGCTGCCTGCCAGGAGCTGCAGCCTTCCTTGAAAAGCTCTCCCACTAACCTCCCCTCACTTGGCAATTGGCATAACCCTTAAAAACTTGGTAATTTTCTAACTCAAAAAAGCCAAAATCAAAGCAGATATTAAGTTCACAAGTTACATTTAGAAACTTAATACACACTTTCAGCGAAGAATTCACAAGCCAAATAAGAAATTATTTAATGATAAAACTAGACAAGATTAAGAGAAGAAGACAATTGTGAGTTGCAATGAGATGTGTCACTTACTCTCAGCCACTCTTGTAAAATCACAGCCTAAATATCTCACAGACATTTTTCTGCCCCTAGTTATTTTCCATAAAATCATCAAAATAAAAGTGTACTTTACTAATTAGGCATCAAATTCTTTGTGTCTTTATTTTTCCTTTTTCAACATGAATTAAATAGAAATAAAAGTCAAATTTTAAATTATTTTAAAGAAAGCATTATGAATCCCAGTGCTCTCCAGGGTGTTCCCATACATGTTAAAAACAAATGTGTGAAGTTTAGATGGTGCAGCCTAACTGACAGCTCTATGCTGGTCACATGGCATTAAAGATAAGATTAAGAGTTCCGGGTGTGGCTCAGTGGTAGAGCAGTTGCCTAGCATGATGGGCAATGCCCTGGGTTTCATCCCCTTCACCACACACACACACACACACACACACACACACACACACACACACAGAGGGCACATTGGGTTTCTTGAGGAGGGTATTTGAATTCTTTGCTGAAAGTGTATAGTAAGTTTCTAAATGGAATTGATAGGGAAATTTCAGCTTAAAGGGGTGATTCTGCATTGTCATCAAAATTTCAATAAAGAATCTAGCTAGTCCTGGAGGAGAAACAGCTTGTACTATTGGTCCTTTCACATGATTTGTTACTCTAGCCCTGGTTCTCATACATGGAAATCTGATTGAACCAGTTAAAACAGAAACAAAAATAATGATGGTTGCTTCACATTCTGTGTTAGGAGATGCTCATTACTGTTGCAGTCTGGTATAGAAGTGCTGCTAGTTATTTTCCTAGTCTCTAGCAAACTGGCTGTATTTCCTAGGCATTTCTGGATATCTGTGTTTTCATGATATTAGTAGTTTTTTATTCTATAGTATAGGAAACCAGAAGGAATTGGAAAAACAGATGAAAGAAACTGCTCCAACTGTCAGCCATGGAATAACAGAATACAGTTAGAGAAGGCTGTGAGATTCCAAAAAGTTCAAAGGCAGTGTTGAGTTTTAGGAACCAGTGGTTGCTACCCAGTTCTCAGCCATCAGCTGAACTATAATTATTTTTAACATTCTGATGAATGCTGAGATAATAATCAAGGAGTACAAAGCCTCAGATTTTTGTAAGGTCTTTTCTAAGAGCTGAATACTATACATTTCAATGTCACTGGGAGGCTGGATCTTGAATGTTCTCAATACAGTAAAATGTTTGAGGTGATGGATAGGTTGGTTGGCTTAATTTGGTTATTTCACATTGTAACAAAAAAAAATCACAGCATCATCATTTTGTATCTTAAAAACACATATAGCTATAATTTATCAATGTGCATATTTTTAAAAACATACAAGTAGAAAAGACTTTGCTTTCTCTTTAAAAATTTGCTATTGAGCTCTACCCTCTGTCCTGGCTGGTGGTGACTAAGTTTGAGAGAAATGAGAAATTGTTCCCACACGTGGTACACCGATCCCAAGCTGTACTTTGGTAGAGTAGATGCAGTCTATGAGTGCAGAGGTGGTTCCTCTCTGCCCTCAGTGAACCAATTCCTCTTTATTCCCAGATCAGATGTCTTTACTTTTTTCAAGCCACCAAGACAGAGTCAGTCGATAAGCAAAACAAACATAAACACACAAACAATTAACTTCCTGCCCTTAGTGTCTTCAGTGCCTGGAAGGAAAAATGAGTTATGTTCAGAAATGTCCATAGGAAGTTGTCTTCCATAAATGAAATTGGCAAAGGAGTAGTTTTAAATAGAATTTAGTCTTAGATTTAATGTGGGTAAAGAAAGATGCAGTAGGGCTGGGACTGGTAGCACACAGTTGCCTGGCATGTGTGAGGCGCTGGGTTTGTTTCTTAGCACCATACATAAATACATAAATAAAATAAAATCAACAACTAAAAAAATATTTAAAAAAGAAAGATGCAATAAATTATGGAAATTGATTAAAGTGAAGCATATTTTATGAATGGTGTTCATATTAGTTAAAAAGTAGAATAATAAATTGTATTGCATAAATTTTTATTTTCCTACTAATTAATATGTAGAGGACAGTGGCATTAAACCAAAAATGTTTATTTAAGAGTGATGTAGTCAAAACAATGTCATTTCAGATTGTAAAAATTAAAGTTGAAATTTGACAATGAAGCTTATAGACTGAAGCAATTGGTCTAATAAAATAATAAGTATTTCATTTCATCTCTACCTAGAGGCATGCATCTTGAATTAAAGGCTAGTACAAATTTTCATGTTTTAGATAACTGTATTTCAAGATGGCTTCTGTTCCAAGTTGCTGCTTTTCAGTTAACAAGCTAAGGATGAACACAATTTTGTTCTCATATTTGGAGACAGCAATTTGGGTTTCATTTCATTAGCTTAAAATGAAATAGAACAATAGGTAGACTCAACAGAGATCCATTCATTTTACAAGAAGTTGTCCTAAATTATGACAAGTTATTCATTACTTATTGTTAAAATTTTTAAATTGACAAAAATTATATATGTGAATCAGGTAAAAAAATGGTGTTTTAAAATTCGTATACATTGTGGAACGGCTAAATTGTACTTATCAACATATGCATCAACTCATATACTTATCACTTTTTGTATGGAAAACACTTAAAATAGACTCTGAGATGTTATTTTATATCCTTTACCAACATCTCCCCAACTCCTGTTCCCACCAACCCCAGTAACCACCATACCATTCTGTTCTCTGTTCTGAGTTCAACTTTTACATTTCACATATAGATAATGAGGTCACCAAGTACTTTTAATTCTGTGCCTGGTGTATTTCACTTAATTCAATGGCCTTCCTGATTCATCCATGTAGTTGCAAAGAACAGAATTTCCTGGAAGTCCATGTGTTATTTTTTTTCCTTCCTCTTGAGTTGAGTTCCTAATGTGTCTGAGGTGTCAGCCCCGCTATCAGATGCACAGGTTGTAAGTATTTTCTCCAATTCTGTAGATTGACTCTTTACTGTGCTGCTTCCTTTACTGTGTAGAAGCTTTTTGGTTGCTGTAACTATATATTTTTACTTTTGATACCTATCCTTTTTAGGTCATATCCAGAATCAGTGCCCAGAATGTCATCAAGAAGCATTTTCCATATTTCTTCATATATTAGTTTTATAGTTCTAGACTGAATGTTGAACTATGCAATCCATTTTGAGTTGATTTTTTAAATGATGTGACATAAGAGTCTAGTGTCATTCTTCTGCCTATGGATATCTAGTTTTCCTAACACCATTTGTTGTACAGACTTTTTCCCATTGTGTATTCTGGGAATCTTTGTCAAAAATAAGTTAGCTAAAAGTACGTAGTTCTGGGTTCTCTGTTCTGTTCGATTGGTCTGTATGTCTGTTTTTATCCCAGCACCATGCTATTGATTACTATACTTTTGTGGTATATTTTAAAATCAGGTAGTGTGATGCTCCCAGGTTTATTCTACTTGCTTAAGATTCCTTTGTTAATTCAGGATCTTTAATGATTCTGTATAAATTTTAGGATTCTTTTCTATTTCTATAAAAAATATCATTGGAATTTTTATACAGATTATTAATCTTTATACAAAATTAGACATTTTGGCAATATTAATTCTTTGAATGCAGAAATATCAATCCAGGAATATCTTCTTCATTTTCTTTCAGCAATGTTTTATGATTTTCAGTGTATAAATCATTTGCCTCCTTAGTTAAATTTATTTATAATAATTTAATTATTTTTAAATGTTGTAAATGGAATTTTAAAAATTCTTCTTTGAATAATTTATTTTGTGCAGAAAATCTACTGATGTTTGCATGTTGATATTGTATCCTATAACTTTGTTGAGTTTGTTTACCCATTCTAGCAGATTTTTGGTGAGTCTGTAGGATGGTGAAAATATAAAATCATGTCATCTGCAAACAGGAACAGTTTATTTGCTTTCCAATTTGGTTGCTTTTTGCTTTATTTTGAGGTTTCTTATTTGTTGTTTTGTTTTGTTGTCTTGTTTCTTTTTGTTCATTTTTTTTCTGGGAGTATTTTTGATGTTGTTGTTATTGTTGTGACATTTGTTTTGTTTTTCTTATACTGGGGTTTAAACCTAGAGGTGCTTTATGACTAAACTGCATCCCAAGACCTTTTTATTTTTTATTTTGAGACATAGTCTCAAAATCTTTTGATTTTACCTTGAAAAGTTCCCATTGGCATTTCTTATAAGTCAGTTCTTGAACTTGCAGTCCTCTTACCTCAACCCCCCAAGTAGCTGGGATTACAGGTGCCCACCTCAATTTGATGCTTTTGATTTCCTTCTCTTACCTAATTCTCTGGTTAGATTTCCACTACTTTGTTGAATAGAAATGGAAAGAGTGAGCAGTTCTCTTGTTTCCTATTTTAGAGGACAGCTTTTAACTTTCCACTGTTGAGTGTAATTTAACTTGTACCTTTATCACATATGACTGTGATATGCTTTGGTTCCTTTTGCTTTGTGATTTCTGTAAGGCTTACATAAAACATAGTGATAAGGAATTTATTTTAGGCTGATAGCATCTTGATAATGTAAGGAAAACAATATTTTTACTTTATCTCCCCCCATAGTTTGTTTTTA